TGGGCGGCGTTATGCAAATCTTCCCACATTGTGACGTAGACATGTGGGGGCGTGTTAGAACGAGCCGTTTTAGGTAGGAGTGGTTGACTCTTAACTTTTATAAAGAATATCTCTTTGGATTTGAGGCTTTAGTCTTTGCAACTTTACAGATCTTCTTTATGCACCAAGAGCTTGTAACACTCCAAAGAGAAAGGAAAAATTGAAATCGCATCATATGACCCCTTTAAATGAGAATCCCAGCTGTCACTAAAGACAACTAAGTAATCCAGATAAACAGCACACCCCTCGAGACCCGACACCACCCAGTTCATAAGGTGCTGAAACGTCGCCGGAGCATTTCGCAGGCCGAAACTCATGACCTGATAGGAATATAGCCCCGACGGAATAACAAAAGATGATATTTCTTGTGCTCGCTTCGTAAGAGGCACTTGCCAATAGCCCTTCAGCAAGTCAAACTTGCTGACGAACTTTGCGGCCCGACCGTCTACACAATCTTCGATGCGAGGTAAAGGAAAGCAATCTGGTTTAGTTAAACTATTAACTATTTGCGAAAATCTGTACAGAATCGAACGCTACCGTCTGCCTTTCCTACTAAAAGGCACGGGGAAGCCCAGAAGACGAAGGCACCACAATATTATGGTCCTGCATATACCGAATTTCTCTTTCCATCAATTCCCGTTTCTCAGGCGAGACACGATAGAAACGCTGTTTAATCGGCTTTGCGTCCCCCACATCAATATCATGTTCGACCCAATCAGTACGAGAAGGCACATCTCCAAATAATTCAGGAAAACTACATAATAATTCACATAACTCCTGACATCTTACAGAAGGCAGATGACGGAGAGTGAATTCCTAAATTCTGTAATGACTCTGATTTTTGTAGCCAACCACGAAGCATGCAATCATCCGGCGAGAGGGTCTCCTCTTCCCCCCCCACTAAACTCACATTACTCCCACCAACAGAGGCTACAGAAAGGGCGGGATGCGAAGGCATCAACTCTCCCAAAGGCTTTGTTTCTGTTTCATAATAAGGTTTTAATGTATTTACATGACAGCATTTAACAGACTTTCTTCGTGATGGCATTATAACTTCATAATTTTTGTCACTCAATTTACGTTGTACTACAAAAGGACCATCAAATTTAGCCTCAAAAGGAGAAGATACAATCGGCCGTAAAACAAGCACTTGATTGCCTGGTTTAAAAACTCGATGCTCAACTGTGCGGTTGTATAATCGCTTCATGTTTCCCTGATGTTTCTTGAGATTTTCCTTAGCTCGCTCCCTCACAGTGTCATTAAGATCACCTGCATGGTGCAGCACGGTGCTCCGTTTCATCATGACAAAAGGAGAATGCACAAAGACGACAATTTGCTCATCAAGCAAGTGCCAGAAATGCTAAATAAGTTCACATAAGGCTATAGCAAATGTTGCATGTTCTGCAAGAAACACAGACTTTTAAAAAGTCTGCACTCAAGACTGATTTGGATAGATTTAAATAGGTATCTAGAATAAGAGTCCCAACTAATTCTGTATTGTCCCCTTACTATCTTTTACTGCTGTATCTTTTTACCCTATCCTCTCTTTCTCTACATGATACAAAATGTCACGTCCACAGGTGGAGCAGCTCATCATTACTACTTAGGGATATGCCGATCCGATACTCAGTAACGTATCGGCTCCGATACTGCCTTTTGCCGGGTATCAGTCAGACAAGACGATCCAAATCCGATATTGTGTGTAAACTGTGTATACTATTTTGTGTTATTGTTAAGCCCCACGAAAGGCACAAAAACATTATAAAGCACCATAAAGTTTTCGTGCACTATATTCCAAGTTTTCTGAAGCTGTTCCATAGTTTAATGTGAGATATAGATTAGTGTTAATTTTGTCAGCAATTTTTTTAGTCTTAGTCTTTTAAATTAGTCTTAGTACTGGTGTCAAATGTACTTTTTAGTTATTATCCTATTTAGTCAACCTTGTCCTGTTTTTATGTCATGTCAATTTTAGTCGACAATGTCTCAGCATTTTAGTCTAGTTTTAGTTAATGAAAACGTTGTCACATTTTCGTCATGCTGATAAAACTGATATATATATATGTATATATATATATATATTTGCTCAAAATTATTAGCAAAAAGATTGTTGTCATTTGAGAAATTTATTTTTACATTTCAGGTATTGCACTTTCACCAATAAGCACAAATCAATAGAATGTGG